CTGGCCCCCAGCTCAAAAAGGTTGCCTACCCCTGCACTACACCATGCTTATGCATTTATAACTGGTTTGTATTCAAAATCCCTATGTATCTATTCCTTTAGGGAATACTGTGAAAGTCCCCCAATCTTCATTTAGCAGGTAGCAGCTATTGTGATTGACAGGGGTCTATTCCCCTGTCAGTTGGGAAGCACCTGGCCGACATTTCCCCACCACCACAAGCAATCTCCCACATGAAATTGAATTGGGACCGGAATCCTGCTTCTCATTATTCATGGAAGGAGGTGGAAATGTTGGTCAGCTGCTTTCCGATTGACAGGAGAATAGATCCTTGTTGCTCACTGCAGCTCCTGCTTAGTAAGTGGAGATCGGTAGGTTCATTGGACTCTATATAGTCCTATAACTAAGGTGGTTATATAGCTAAGTAGCTGATAGAGAATTCCGGCTAACATAAATAAATTGGTGAGGAATGTTCAGACCTTCTATAAAACAATATGTTTACATCCCACAAACTGCCCTAAGCCCAATAATAATTGCATTTAGATTAAACCTATAAGTGTTGATACACCAAGTTTCTGTGGGTTTTCTCTCATTGGATTTAGGCTAATGTTCCCAATGAGATGGGAAACTGTCAACAAGTCCTTATGCTCAAATATATGGCATGTGTCCCACCATACCAATGGTTCCATGTTGATGTTGAACACTCCAAATGAGAAAGGCAAGGGAAAAGAAATTACACACAGATTCCTAGCTCTGTAGCCAACTAACAGATAGAACTGCCGAGCCATGGCATTTGAAGAGCGTATATTTACCCTGTACATGTCTAGCAGTTTGATACCACTTTAACTGACACAGATCCATTCTATGCCATCCTGAGATTTGTAGTGTAGAGGGGTACTAGGAATTCTCTTTCAGAAAGCTCTATCATATTCTCCTGAACTGGCAGAGCTCTCCATCTCTTTCCCTGAGCCCTCAAAAAGTGTTCTGGGAAAGTCCATGACTTGTTTCTGTCCCAGTGGGACTGTTGAAAGTATTGCCCTCCCCAAACTCTGTGAACAGATGTGGGTTTGTGAGCCATCACATTCCCTCCTGCTGTGCTCCTCATCTCCAGAACCCATAGTCCATGAAAATATAATAAATACCCAAGGATTCATTTATCACGCACCTGTTCAATTATCATTGTAGGGCTAGGGGAAAAAAGTAGCAGCAAAAAATACCACCAGCTGCCTTATGGCCTTGCAACTTTTAAAAAATATCACTGGGGAGAAGTTCTCAGGAAGAAAGTGCCTTCTTCTTCAAACATTTAATTTCATTTTATTTCTTGGTTGCTTATTTATTTTTTACTGGGAAGATAACATTTCAACTGCGGTGAACAGAGCTCGAGAAAAATACAGGAGTAGGAAGTAGTACATGATGTCTAATGCCACCAATGCAAACCAGTCATAGACTCCATCCACACAGCAGAAATAATCCAGTTTGACACTGCTTTAATTGCCATAGTGGAATGCTATGGGATCCTGGGATTTGTAGTTTGTTGTGGCACTAGAGCTCGCTGAGACAGCTACATGTCTCACAAAACTACAGTTCCCAGAATCCCATAGCACTTGGCAATTACAGTTAAAGCAGTGTCAAACTGGATTATTCCTGCACTGCAGATGCAGCCACAGTGAAACACCAGCAGCTGTCACATGTTTTCAAAGGGAGAGACGTAAGCCTATGCTTAATCTTAATCTACATAGTATGATGTATAAGGGGGCGCTGAAAAGTTTTTGGCCCCACCAAGAAGAGAATGACTCAGAGCAATGAAACTTGCATCTTATTCCACATATTCATCCCAAAGTTTGACATGCTTGGCACAACATTTCTCAAGTTCCTTTAACCCTTCCAAAAAAAACAAATTGTGGTGTCTGATCATTGAAATACTAGTCTGCTGCTGCTATCACCTCTGAATTATGTGAAAACTTCCTTCCTTTTAAACTCTTCTTTAGATTTGGAACCAGTAATTAATAGAACAAGCTCTAGTGAGTAGGGAGGAGGGTCTATGCATGGAAACCTCATATTCTTCAAAACAACCATTGTCTTGCCAGCCCTATGAGCAGGTGCATTGGCCAGTAAAAAGGGAACATCTTTCCACCACTTCCCTTGCCATTTTTCTTTCAATGCCTTTCAATCAGCACAGCAAATTAGAGTAGTATTCTACATTAACCGTTTGGCCCTTCTGAACATAGTCATCAAAATATCTTCCATTTCCCCCCAAAAACTGTGGTCATGACCTTTTCTGCTGGTGGTTGAGTCTTCAGTTTCTTCAGCCATAGAGAATCTGAGTGACATCATTGCAAGGACAGCTGTTTGGTTTTTGGATCATAGTGATATATCCATATGTTTCATCAACAGTGATGAATCATTCCAAAAATAAATAAATTACTAAATCACCTCAAATGTTGCAGAATCAACTTCGAGGTATCAACTTGATTTTGTTTCTGGTCAGCATTCAAACATTTCGGCACCCACTCGGCTGACAGCTTCTGCATAGCCAACTACTCAGGAATGATAAACCCAATCCATTCCCAAGGTGACTTAACAGCAAAGATGAAACAAGATAGATCTTTTGCCTAAGGTCTAATAGATTTTAGTTTGCTAAATCAAAACACAAAACTCTGACAACCAGCAGCAGTGCCAGATCCCAGCTCCAATCTCAGTGGGTTGAGCTGGAATGAATAATATAGTTGGAGCTATCCAAAGTCCTGAATCCCATCTCCAAAACAGGTAGAGCATCCTGGACAGTTTCTCTGAAACCCAGGCAAAAAAGTTGGAATGGAGTCACTGACCTACTGACATGAATGAATGAAGCTTAGTTTTGAAAGCCCCCCCCCCCCGATACATTAGAGGATGCAGAGTTAACAGATTTGCTGATCCCAGCCCATGGCTGTGCATATCCAGCTCTTAAAAGTCTTGTTCTGAATAGTTATTTATAACAATAAACCTGAAATATAGATTCATTCATTGAAAGATTCATTCATTAAATCCCTTTATATTCAACCATTCTGTAGTGCTGAGTTGGGATGGATACACATTTTTATTCCCTCTGACACGTTCTTCAACTTAAATAATCCAAGTGATTGAATGCGACTTCTCCAAGTGGTACTATCCATAGTTTAGTACACTTCCTCTTGATGCTTAGCAATAATGGGTGTATCCACACTGCAGAAATAAAGCAGTTTGACACTACTTTGACTGTATTGGCTCTATCCTACAGAATCCAGGGATTTGTAGTTTAGTGAGGTACCAGAGCTCTCTGACAGACAGGCTGAATACCTTGTTGCTGTTGCTGTTGTGTGCATTCAAGTTGTTTCTGACTTATGGTGACCCTAGGCTGACTCTATCACAGGTTTTCCAGAGGGTTGAGAGTGTGTGACTTGCCTAAGGTTGCCCAGTGGATTTTCATGGCAGAGTGAGGACTTGAACCCTGACCTCCAGAGTCCAACACTCAAACCACTCTACCTCACCAAACTACAAATCCCAGGATGCCACAGGATGGAGCCATGGCAGTTAAAGTGGCATCCTGGGAACTGATTTATTTCTGCAGTGTGGAAGAGCTGAGCAACACTTTTCCTGCTCTGCCTCATCTGATGAAATGAACAGTTTCCCACTAAGTGGATTTATTCCAGTGCATGATGTAGAAATACAGTTTGTGACATGACAAAATCACAGCCCGGATCTTTCTTGCTCCACCACTTTGCTCCCTCAAGAAGCTCCTTTCACCTTATCATGGGGGAAATCAGTTTGAGGAAGAAGGCTATTTTAAAACATCAAATTAACATACAAATGTAAGAAAAAAATAGGGGGAGGAAAAGCTGGTTCATGTGCCTGCTAGAGTGACATAAATATGTAGGGGAAAAAAATATAACGGCATAT